GGGGGGGGGGGGGGTTACATTGGGTGGGGGTGATGGTAGTGATACTAATACTTAGTGCTAATAGGGTTTACTGTTTTACCTGCATTCCAAAATTTCTCCTAACGCTAAACGCACCTTGTCGTTAAAACTGGAAAATTCAAAAACTCTTAAAATTTCCCAATAAGACATGACACAATATGCATACGGCAATGTATAATTATTATTTCCAAAAATAAAAATATACGAAAGCGTCCTCATTCATGTGTCGAATTTTCATTTTTGACTTTTTATCCTTCAAAGTTGCACTCGTGTTGCACCAATTTTTTTTCTCATTTCTCTAGACCTATACATACGTATATTTATACTTATGTAAATCTCACAGACGCAATAGCGACGAACAATACGTATCAGAACATATGTGTATAGAAAATCACATATGACAGAGACGTAGCTTGAAATTAGGCAGGCTAAGCCAGTACCGTATAAGCCTACTGTGTAAGGGTTTGCTTTACCCAAATTGGCAAAACTTTCACGGTAACAATTTAAAGTTACGTAGCTATGTAAACGACATGACGTAATGCCTGGTCATAAAGAGTAACAATTTCTGTGTCGTACATAGATACACGTCTAAACTCACCTACCAAGTTCCTTTATTAATCACAGCTTAGATCCTCGTGATTTGCACCCAAAAAGAAAAATCTAATCCACCCTTACATTAGATAAGAATAATTAATAAAATTTGACTCTAATCAATCTCATTCTTTAAATTCATACCTATGTGTACACTCCAATCCTTATTTTTGAAAAAAAAAAAATTTAATTATCATTTCCAATATTTGACATGTATTTCTGTATTTTCCTAAGCAACAATCAGTAACGAAGAAAAAGCTGAAAATTTGCTCATTCAGGAATGCAGGTTGTCACAAAGTACAAGCCGACTGATAACGATAGTGACTTTGCGATGGCAATGGCTGGGTTGTGGTGGTGGTTGTGGTGGGTGGTGAAAGTACAGTGAATTTAAAAATCTGTTTTTAGGTATTCCCACCGTCTTGACGTAGGTGACGGTCTCGGCTGTGGCTTCCGTCAGGGCTCGTCGTAGTCTTGATCGTCGAACTTGAGACAGCGTACGCGGGCAGAGCACGACCCCCTGCGCATTGGAAACCACGACGGAACCGGAAGCGGAACCAGAACTTGGCATCGGTGGCGGAGGCGTAGTTGCCGTCGTGGTCGGCGACGATTTGCACCACCAGGGAAACTGAGCGTGTTACGGGACTTTATTGCATCGACTGTACCATATACGAACATGTTGGAGGTTCGCAACCTCCATTATGCTAAATTTATGTAATATAATAATAGTATGTATATATATATATATATATCAACTACTATGCTCTATACTAGTATTCTGCTACTAGGACTAGTTTACTAAATTTTTTTGTCATACTACTGTAGTGATATAGGTTATTGTGTAATAATGGGATTTATTCAAATTTTTAATATTTTTTTTTTTTAATTTCAGGGAGAGGGTCGATTTTATTGATTTGGGGAATCGTTTATTCATATTGATATGTATACCATGTACCGGGTAACGGTTGTTTGAATAAGGAAAAATTGTATGAAACATTTTTATAGCATATTTATTTTTTTTTCCCGAATCCCGAAAATCATTTCGAATATATTCACGTGACACGATTTTTCATATACGTAGTATGACTTTCTTGCAAGCCTGTACCCCATTTTACTGAAATCGAGCGAAATTTTGCGGAGATGCTAGTTTCGGTATGAAAGGTTTCGCTGCAACTGGTTCGAATGCGTCGTACAATGCGAATTCGGCGCCACAGTAAAAGTCATTGTCATTTAGCAAAGTTGTCGGACTGCAACGTGCAGTTTGTCAGTAGAGTGTAAATTGAAGGAGAAAATTTAAATAACAAATTTTTTAATTGCCTCGATTTTTCGAAATAAAAAAATTACGTTTGTAATTTGATTGCATCCAAAAATCGGGATGACAAACAAAGGGTCTTTAAGATTTTGGATTGTAGACCTTTGATGAGAATGAAAGAATACGAAGAAAAAAAAAAAAATCAAATTTTCATTAATTGCCTGAAAAATAATAACCAAAAATACATATATTTATATACAATATAATATTATAGTTTATATTAGCCCTAATACCAGACGTTCGACAATCATGCCCACTTATATAAAATATTAATCGGCCTTATCACATATCCACCCGACACATAAATCATCACCAGGATATGCAAAGTACAAGAGGAAACAACTAGATGACAAAATGTATTACAGAATCCATTTCGAGTGAATAAAACAGCATCTGAAATATAAGACGACGACAGGGAGATGGGAAATTGCATGCAATTAAGAAAGTTCATAGGACGATACAGTAATAGTCTGTATATAAAACATCAATGGAACATTAAACAGCATTACGAAGGTACATCAAAGTTATTAAAATAAAATAACAGCCACAGGGAAGTAATCAAATTTTAATTTTATCTTTTATTATCACAAACAAAATGGCGGACGCCTCTAAAAATTATATACAGGCAGAGTCAGCCTAATTACGAGTATCCGTAGTCCGTTGCTGGTCTTACCATCAAGCAATTAGTGCCAGGCGTCCCGACGCCCTGGACGCCCATGTTGGTGTAACCAGATTTCAAGACGGAGGCCAAACCCCATCTTATTAAGTCAGACAGGCAGGTACCCATGTATGCGAAAGCCTAATAATGAAGACGCTTCCATTGAAAGCCAGTGCTGGAAGTTTCGTCCCGTCGCCGGAAGTGGCGCCACTGACACATCCGGTTTTACTATACCGTAGAGATACCAACCTAAATTCAAGACAGCTTAACCTGACCTGTCCCAGAAAATTGTTATGTCCCTAGGACATTTCCATGGCGGCTAATGCTTTTCCAATAAATATTATTATTGTGCTTTGATACTGTCGAAAGAGGCCAATTAGATTTTTCATCGGAAAAGAGATAAATTATGGAAACCTGGCTATGACGTTTTATCGAGTTTTTAAGTATAGCATGTTTATCCCGAGTTCCGTACCTAAGATGTTGAGAAGTCCCGGGTTATATCTTATGGTTTCTATCACTTTTTGGACAAGTCGATTCGTCACGTCCACCGAGGGTGGTTTGTCGCTCTTAAAGCAGAAAAGTTACTTTCTTTTTTGTCTGTCCTTCTCTTTATTTCCTCGAATCTTTTTTTATTTTTCTTATATCTGCCAGACCTATTTTATCCTCGTGCAATTCTCGACTGTCAATATATACCATAGTTCCGGGTGATTTGTGATTTTTTTTTTAAAAAAGGGTGGGAAAATCTTTATGGAAAAATTCAAAATATTAACTCCCAGATTCACATTGGACAATTATTTTCCTGGATTTTCAATTTGTTTTTTTTTTAATTCGTTCCATCAACTTTAGCAAAGTCCATTTTCTCAAGGAAGCAGTAACTCGGCGAAGTATGGCGGAACTTTTATGCACGTGTATACAGAAAGCTCGTATATCCTTGGTGGATTCCTGAACGTATGTTCCATGTACGTAAATACGTATCCAACATAAAGGTACCAGTATGTGACATAAGCGAGGTGCTTTTCTTAGAAATTATTCTAGAATACATGCGAGTCGCGTACCTTTTCTTTTTATAATTTTATTAAAAGGGTTTATGCAATCCTTCAATATTGCATAATAGATAAGCTCTTATTATAAGTGAAAGATGCACTTTTAGGAGCTGCTATCAATTTTTTCTATTATGTTTATGACAAGAAAGTCTTTGAGTAGATACAAGCATCCAGCTTCAAGAATCCTGTAAAAATTTGTTTTTGGCGCAGGGCGAAGATTTTTTTGGAAAATATTTTTTTGCATTCTTGGTATATGCTTGTCATACTTTTTTTATATCCGATACGAGAGAATCCTTTTACGGGCACATAGAAAGCAAAATTGAAAATTTTTCATAGAAAATGCACTTTTCAACAAGACTATCGACTTTCACAAATGGCATCGCATTGCATCTGAGTCGAATTCACGGTCGTTGAGTCATTCAAGTCATTTTCCTCCGTATCCCAATTCAGAGTAACAAAGTAAATAAATCGAACCCAACCAAACCCAGACTCAGTCAAGATGCTGAATTTGCACTAGTCAGGGAAATGCAAGATGCATTCTTGACGATGCACTTTGGTTGCCTCGTCATTCATTTTCGATACAGTTTATCTGCCATTTCCCAGCAGCTCCAGGCAAACTTTGTGCTGAATATAGAATTCAAAAATATGCTTAAAGGTCAATCCACAAATACTGAACAATGAATATATTTTCCCCATAAAAAAATCCAAGCTCAAGCTTTCCATTACTTGATTAGATAAAAAAAAAAGATAATTGCAAAAAACAAAAAAAATAAAACCGTCTCGAAAAATAGAGGCGTCCCTCCTATCTTTCTTTCTCCTTTGCCAAGAAAAATATAATTTTTTCCCAACGCACAGAGCATCGGTAGCGACAGAAGAAGATTGAGTCGAGTTTTATGAAATGCGGACTCGTTTATCCCACCTTTTTTACGTCTTCGGGGTAATCGTAGATTCGCCATCCTTTCCCAAGCTCGTGAAATAAAGAGGAAAAAGAAAAGGAAAGGACAAAAACGAAATTGGATAATTTCCACGTTCACGGCTATTTTACTATTAATAAACATTTCCCTTCCTCCTCCTGACTTTCGACTGCTCGTTACGTTTTCTTATCGATGCAACAATTTCCACTACGAATTTCACAAAATCAGCAAAAAAAAACATTAGCTGAACATCGAACATCGTATCTGTACTAATATAACGATATAACAGTTATACCCTTATATCCATGCATTACAGTGCCCACTAAATCCCATGAAAACTGGCCTTCAATCTTCAACTATTATTTCCCCCCATTCTCGTACTATACTGTCTTTCCATCTCTCCCCCCATCTACCCCTCCAAAGTATCGGACCCTTTACCTACGCCTGACCGTAAATTTCATGAAAAACGTCGAACACGGCCACCCGTACCGGCAACCCAGCGGAAAAGTTTACGAGGATCATTTTCCGTTGGGTTTCCGTTCCTTCCCCTCCCCTCTCACCACTCGCCATAGCCCCACCCACTCCCACCACCCATCGCCCTGACCCAATTATTTCCTCACCACTTTCGACATCCCGATCCAATCGTCAATCCCGATACCATTCTACAAGGTCATCCGACTATCTTCCTCTCCCACCGTTCACCCTATATATCCTTCGCTCTTTAACCTTTGACCTCTCCATAAAATCGTCGCACTCGCACCTTTGTAAAATACTATACATCGCATACCATGGAGTTCGAGATAGAAATGTAACATGAATTTTTTTTTGAAAAAAATTTTTTCTCAACCAATTTATTTTTAAGTTGCCAACCTGCGTCGTTTCCAATTAAAATGTATATTTTACCTAAGCATGTATTTAATATAGTGTCTAGCAGGGTAACGCGTGGGTCAAGTAAGGTCAAGGTTCAACGGGACGTGAATATCAAAGCGGTATGCTAATTTGTTCTAGAACGTTTATATCGTTCGCCGATTCCGCCGCTAGTATCTTTGTCTTAATTGCCAGTAGTATAGCCGTACTAGTCATTATGTCTGACATGAACGTACTTTTTCCACTGTAGTCCGTCCGTCCTTCTCCGACTCGTACAGCAGGTACGATCCTTCGCGGTCGATTTGTAGTATCACAGCCGGCATGGCGTCTGCGCCATGAAAACTCGACTTTCTTCCTATTCCCTTGCGGCAGTAAGATTCCCACAGCGACATTCTTTTTTTTTCACCCAGCAACCTCTTTCTCTCGCCCTTTCCCTCTCGCTCGCACTCTTCGAAACTCCCACGAACACTCTCGCTTCCATTTCCTTTTATACGAAACGTACGAGTCGACGTTAGGCGATCGTGTATATATTCTCTCTTTACGTTTTCATCTATTTTCCTATCGCAAAGCAAAGAAACTTTCCACGCGAGCGCCGCCACGCGGCAAACTGACGAACTAACATTAAAAAATCATTCGGCACTATACAAAGATTTTTATTTTTTTATTATCTTTTTTTTCGAAAAATTCCAAGATATTCCTTCCGATATTTATATTTATCATGTATATATCCGGTATGGGATTTCGTAAACAACCACTGCTCATTCCGGAAATGGATCCTAATTTCCCGGACGGGGGGTTTGAATGTAGAGACGCGAGTCTGAGACCTGAGAATTT